TAATACAAATATTCTTTTTATCTTGTTCCCGGCCACACTGGTACTAACATAGGTATCCACTGCGCTCGGTTCGCTGGTCATGTAGGAGATGGTTGACGTGAGGTGGTAGGCGATTCGTCAAGGGCTTCGCCACCGTCTTGTACCAGACTGGGAGTAATTCGATCGGCCTATAGCTCCTGTTGTTTGTCTTATCGCCCTTTGTGTAGAGCAGTGTTTTTAACCCCCAAACACTTGTCCTCTTAGACTTGCTCTTCCGCCCAAGCATCCGTACAAGTCACCAGAAGTCAATGAGAAGTCCTTCATCCCCTGGTGCCTTCTTCTTCATCTCTCTTTCACCATCCCCATTACCTCACCCCCCTTGCTTGCCCTTTCCAGGGTGAGTCTCCCAGCCTCTCCCCCTTGAGCCGGAAGCCAGACTCAGGATCGGTTCCTCAAGTGTTGACACTTTGACCAAGTATCCGCCAAAACACAAGGGCTCGTCCGCCCTGATTATGACCGCATCCAACCAGAAAGATGGCTTGTATACATGCAGAATCCGGGGGTGTTACGTTCGGGGGACGATGGTAGTAGACTGCAGTAGTGTTGTCCAAAGCTGCTCTTCTCCGCGTTGCGAAGACATCCCGATATTAATCTAGTGCACAGCTGGACATTTCGCCATCCCCAGCTGCACATTTTGGCATCCGCGGCGACCGGCCACATTATACCAAAACGGCATCATGATGGGTAAAGCAGTTTCTTCATCTTGACTTGTGTTTGACGCGCAAGCAGAAGCTTAAATGTATGTTTTAACTATTTAAGCATGCAGTTTTTATTTGTTTTTGTTTTTTTTTTGAAATCAAAAATGCTCCATCTAGTGGTGGTTAGCAGCACCTGCTGGAAAACGGTTTTTTTTTTCTTTTTTTTTTTATAATCAAATGCTCCATTTATTGGTGGGGAGCAGCACCTGCTGGAAACGGGGTCCAGCGTCCCAGAACATTATATGCATTGTCGAACACGCGAAAAAGACAAGCAATCCTACATCATCACTTGTTACAATTTAGTCCCTGTATTTCTACTTCATCACTTGCAGATCCTCCCGCTCCTTCAAATGATGTGCCCACCCCTCGGCCCAAGCCAAATCTCAATTTATGTGTCTTTCTTGTCCAGAGGCCATGCTAATCTTCTCTTCGTCGTTCCAATTTTAACAGATTTGGCTTGTCCTGTCCCGAAGGACAACCCAACTCTGAAAGCAGATGATGCTCCACAGTTTTCCTCCACACTTTCTTCCACCCTCTGCCGGGCTTCGTTCTTCGTTTTTCTGCTGCTTTTCCCCCAGGCCTGCTTCTCGCGCAGGAACCTCGCAAAGACATCAAAGTCATCTCTAAATGATACAGATCCCCAAAGACCACCAACCTGATCCACATGCGAACATGGAACAACAACAAAAAAAAAAAAAAAAAAAAAAGCTCCAGTATTTCTCCAGTCTTCATGGATGTAAGGATGTAGGAAATCTGTCTCGCTTGTTGTACCCAAAAAAAAAAAGAAGAGAGAGCGCCGAGCAGTGGCCCTGGCTCTCCCAGTCCTAATGGGGGGGGGGCATGTATTGCTTGAATAATAAGAGTCATGGGCACTTTTTTTCAAAAATTGATAAACAAGGAGGTGGCGTTGCACGTGCAGGGAAATAGACCCTGCGTCCCTTATGAAATTTTTTGAACCACCGCTCCCTCCCAAATTCCCAATCCTATTTTCGTCGTGGCATATTTCTCTTGTGTGCCAAGCTTCATCGCAGAGGCGCCAATGTGGTGATTCTCTTCTCTTCCTTTTTCTGGCCATTGGGGTCTGAAAGGCCTGACCCTCTGAAGTACCCGCTACATTACATGTTAAATCCTCGGTGCAGTGGTGGGTGGTGGTCTAAGTGTTGGCCATCTCACCAATGACAGAAGCACCAAGCATAGGGTATCAGCACTCAATCCCAGGGATTAGTTGAGATCCTCGCCTGCTGAAACGGATAAAACTGACGACTCCTTCGGGACGTCCATTAAAATTGGAACGTCCATTAAAATTGGAAAGATACAGAGAAGATTAGCATAGCCCCT